TAGGGGAACATACAAATGACCTTGAGTTTGGTGGTGAGTTTTTAGATGCAATGCCAAAAGTACGATCCATGAAAGAAAAAAAAATATTAAGTCTGCCTTCATTAAAATTAAACACGCCTGCTCTGCACACAGCTCCGCTAAGAGAACAGAAAGACAAGCCACCAACGGGGACAACATTTGCAAAGCCCTGTGTGAGGAAGGACTCGTATCCTAAATCTACTAAGGACCACTGACGTTCAATAAGAAAAGAACCCAATTAAAACGTGGCTGGAAGATTTGAACAGAAACCTCACGAAAGATGACAGGCAGAAGCAGATAAGCACGTGCCATTAGGGAATTGTGACTTAAAGCATCGAGACGCCACCGTGCACTCATGGGCATGGTCAGAATGAGAGGCACTGACCACAGCTCGGGCTGGCACGGACGTGAAGCAACAAGAACGCTCGCTTGTGGCTGGTGGGCACGCGGCATGGCCAGCCGCTCTGGAGGATGGATTGGCATTTGCTGAGGAAGCTGAACAGACTCTTACTGTCTGATCCGGCAAGTGTGCCCCTCTGTGTTTACTCCAATGAGTTGAGAATGTATGTCCATGCAAACACCTGCACACAGATGTTTCTCCGTAATCACCCCGACTGGAAGGCAACCAAGATGTTCTTCAGTGAATGCACATGCAGACTGTGGTCCAGTCCGACAAGAGAATATCATTCAGCACTAAAAAGAAATGAGCTACGAAGCCATGAAGACACAGGGAAGAAGCTTAAATGCGTATTATTAAGGGAAAGAGGCCCATCTGAAGACACTGCATACTCTGATTCCAGCTCTATGACATTCTGGAGAAAGCACAACAGTGGGGACAGTGATGGGACCAACGGTGGCCAGGGGGGGCTCCGAGGGTTCCCAGGGCCGTGAAACTACTCTGTATGATGCTGTAATGATGGGCACATGTCATTACACATTTGTTCAAACCCATAGAATTTAGAGCACAAGGAATGAACCCTCATGTAAACAGTTAATACTCATGTATCAATATTGGTTCATCAATAGGGAGACATGCGCCACAGTAACCAATGGGGGAATTTTGGGTGAGTGTGTATGTGTGCGCACGTGAGTGTGTGCACACATGTGAGCACACGTGTATGAGAGTGAGCATGCATGCGTGCGAGCATTGTATGAGTGCATGTGTGCATGTGAGTGTGCATGCACATACATGCACATGTGAGTGTGCATGTGAGTGTGCATGCACATACATGCACATGTGAATGTGCATGTGAGTGCACGTGTGTGAGAGTGTGAGTAGGAGTGTGTATGCGTGTGAGCATTGTGTAAGTGCACATGCATGTGTGAGTGTGCATGTGTGAACACACGTGTGTGAGAGCCTGTGATGGTGCACGTGTGTGTGGGTGGGCATGTATGTGTGAGTGTATGTGCGTGGTGCGTGAATGTGAGTGTATGCTGTTCAGTTTTTCTGGAAACATAAAACTGTTCTAAGAAATAAAATCTATTTAAACAGTATATTCATAGAAGAAGAAGGAACATAATGTACTTACCTTTGTGCACTCAAAGGTCACTGGATGTAGGACATTAATGCACATCAGTGGTTGTGAAAGGGACTGCTGGTTGCCCCCAACACTCATCCCCCCTCTCATCTTGTAACAGCACCCCGATTTTTAGCTGGACACAAGGTTGCCCAAAGCAAAGACCTCTTTTCCCAGCCTCCCTTCCAGCTAGATGCGGCTGTAAGACCAGGTTTTGGCGATTGAAGTGCCCGAGGTGGTGTGTGTGACAGGAAGGAGCGGTGCCTGATCTTTCCCCATCCTCCTTCCAGCTGTCGGGAGCGCAGACGTGCTGGACCAGGACCTGAGCGTGGGAGGGAGGCCACGTGTGGGGGCCCAGGGCCCAGGAAGAGCTGGGTGCATCGAGCTGTGGACCTTCTACACCAAACTCCTCCTGTGAGAGTCAGGACCCCCGTCCCCCTTCTGCGAGGGGCACTCCCACCACACTCAGCCTCCGTGGGGCCTGAGCACCCCAGCTGCGTGCACAGAAGCTGATGAGCTTGATCCTCGAGATGAGCGTTGTTCATTGAAGGCTTCCCTTCGCCCGCCACAGCTTTAGGGGCGAGGTTGGCGTGCGCACAGGAGGGACGCACGGAGTGAACATGGGCTGATCTCACAAACATACGCTGAAGTAAGAGGGGCTGAGCGGGTGCGGGAGCGGGGCTCTGGGGGGGCTTGGGGAGCGGCCCCGGGCAGCCCGTGTCGGTGACCACCAGCTCCGGAGGCCCCCGGGGACCTGGTGTCCATGGCGACAGCGGCTTTCCCAGGACCGCACACTATGAGTGCACACTGCGTGTACACACACACACACACACACACATATTGCTTTTCAAAATATTTTCGTATAAGCTTATATCAATTTCAAAAACAAAATGAAGGTAGTTGTCATTTTCTCATAGGGAGCAGTTTTCACTTTTCCTGAAACATCCGCGTTTTGTGGCACCAGAGTTTATGGGCTGTGAGCACCGCCACCCCCTTGTTGATCACCAAAGTGGGCTCCCGAATTCTGCTCTGGTTAATCACGACCCACTTAATGCCTCCAGGTGTGGGGTTCGGTTGGAACGACCTGAATTACATGGGTTCCTGAGCTGAGAGATCACTGGATCAAAACAGGGGGCATCCCAATGACTGACCAGTTTGTCACCCTGGAGGCTGATTCCGGCCCGTGGTCTCCGGGCAGGGCCCCGTGCAGCCTGGGGGCTCCGAGGGGTCTCCAGGCCGGATCAGAGGAGGTCGGGTGGTCCAGAGCCGGAGGGGGAGACGGACCCCTTGTGCTGCCCCTTGGCCTTGTAAACAGGAGGTTGTGGGGGCTCTGGCTGGAGCAGGCCGGGACCAGGAGGCCGACCCGGTGCAGCTTCCAGTGGGCGCACCCTGGGAGTTGTCAAAGCACTCGCAGCCTCGGTTCCCCTCTGCGTCGGGGACAAAGCATGCATGAATGACAGTGAGGTCCTCTGAGGCCCCAAGCCACTGTGAGCTCCCAGGCCTCACCCCACAGGCTGTTGGCCGCTCTTGAGGCGCGTGACTGTCTGTTTGCAGAAAGTCTCACTGCTCTGTCAGCCGGCCTGCCCAGAGTCCCGTCTCCATTACTAAGGATCCTTTGGTCCCTGGTGACAGCTTATCAGGAAAAGTTCTACGATCATAGTTACCTATGCCCAGAAAAGAGGAGGATCCAAGGGCCCAGGTGCTCCTGTCCTGGCAAGGACAGATGGGGCCAGGCTGAGCCCCTCGTCCAGCACACACGACAGGGCCCCAGCCAGACCCCCGGGGCTTGGTTCCCTCCCCCACTTGCTCACTCTCCCCTGCACTGTGGACAGAGTCCCTGTCCTAGGGGCACAAGCCTGGTGGTGCCTCTCTCTGCATGGGATCTTCGGGAGCTCTACATGCCCCAGTGACGCCTCCCAGATGGGCAGGACGTGACCCAGACACCCCTGTCCTGCCTTGAGGGGACACATCGATGAGCCGGGATACTGACCTCACAGTGTATCTGCCTGGCTGACCCTGGTCCCCTTGGGGGCCCTGGTACCGTCGCCCCGTCCTCCATCCTTCCAAACTCATCCTGGAAGGCAGCCTGGATTAGGAGCTGGAGTGGGTTGGAATGCAGCCGGGCGGGCGCGTGCTTTCGGCAGGGCCTCGGGGCGGTGTCCCAGCTCCTGACGGGCGCTCTCCTCCTCTGTAAGGCCTCAGCCTCACCGAGCCACCCTGAGGATGACGGGTGATTTTGGCCAGCGCCTGGCCCGCAGACAACGCTTGGAGAGCGTTCATCTGCTTCCTTCCCCGATCTTGCCTCGTTTCTTGGGCCTGGGACCGTATGTTCGGCATCAGTGTTGTTGATATCTGTGCTTTGTTCAGTCCAGGAAGCAGATGGAAAGAGCAGGCAAGTCTGTGTAGATTTGCAAGTTTTCCTATGTG